GATCAGACAGGCCAATGACCTTCCGGATGTCCTTCTGGACAACCTTCCGGATGAAGCCGGGACTGTGAGGGCTGAGGCAAGCCGCCGTGGCTGCAAGGGCCAAGCCCCTTGCACAAATTTTGTGCATCGGGCCTCTAGTTTAACTATAATGAAAGTCACTGACCCTAGGCGTTTGTAAGTTAAAGTGGTTAATGTGGATGCAGATCTCACATAATATTTTATAGGAAAACTAGAGGCCTGATGTGTGAAAATTCATGCAAGAATAGGCCTTCCTTCTCCCAGCTGCCGGCACTGGCTCTCTTCAGACCCCAGGAGCCGAACTGCTTCCCTCCTCCGGCCACCGGCAGGCACCCAGGACCCGGGCTGCTTCCCTTCTCCGGCTACTGGCAGGCACCCAGGACCCGGGCTGCTTCCCTTCTCTGGCCACTGGCAGGCACTTAGGACCTGGGCTGGCTTCCCCTCTGGCCCTGGCTTCATCAGGAAGGACGTCCAGAATGATGTCTGGTCTAACTAGCATATTACCCTATTATTATGGATGTGAGTAATAGAGTATAGTTAAAGAATTATGCTTTTAATTATATTTTCTTCTGTGTTGCCTGGCTGCATGATTATGAGGTGATATATCATTGAAAGCTGTGGAAGAAGAAAAATAAATAATAGAACAGAAGAATTGACATTGACAATAAGGGAAATGGGAGATGATTGAGTGGGAAGGTGCATAATTATAGAGGAATTTCCTTCCATCAAGAAGGAGGCAAAATGGAGTGAAAGTTCCCTTACATTCTAGCTCACTTTAATCATGGTATTTGCATAAGGAGCAATTGCTTGATTATGTTTTGGGATGTACATATGTATATTATATGTATATATGTATGTATATATGTGTATATATATGAAGTTAGTTTGTGAAATGTTTCAAACATACAAAAAGGTAAAGATAAAAATATGCATAGGTATTCAACACTCATATTGAGAAAAAATGTAGTGAACACCCCTATCACTCACTCATACTTAATAAATATTTTAATTCTACTTTTTGATACAGATTTTTAAACAGAAATATAACATGTCAGTTGGAATTGAAAATCTCCTTTAACCTCCAAATAAAAATTTGCTCTCCTTGAAATTGAAAAATAAGGCTTTTTATATAGGTGTATGAGTTTAAATAATTTCAATGTGCTTTTTAAAATTTTAAAGCCATTTTAATGATTAAGAAAAATATTCAGTATAGTTTTTTCCCATTAAAAAAGCTTAACTATAAACTGTCATATTACAAAAAAAAGTTTAGTGATTATTCAATTTCTTTTCAAAAGGAAATTATTTGCAAATAAAGAGTATGTTTTTTACCAGCTGAATAACACTTCACGATTTTATATGGAGGAAAACTTTTCTGGTATCTGTGCTCCATATATTTACTTTTTTTAACACATAGAAATCTATACAAAGATTTCAGTGTTAAATTGGTAACATTGGTTACTTTGGTTGGAGAGATTGTATCATGTAGAGTTTGCCATTCTAAATTACTTTGTTACTATTTAAAATTTTATATAGTAAGCATATATTATTTTGGAATTAAAAAAGGTAATGTTAAACATAGGTACTTTTAAATTATCTCCTAAACCAGTGATGGCGAACCTACGACACACGTGGCAGAGGTGACATGCGAACTCATTTTTTTGGTTGATTTTTCTTTGTTAAATGGCATTTAAATATATAAAATAAATATCAAAAATATAAATCTTTGTTTTACTATGGTTGCAAATATCAAAAAATTTCTATATGTGACACAGCACCAGAGTTAAGTTAGGGTTTTTCAAAATGCTGACACGCTGAGCTCAAAAGGTTCGCCATCACTGTCCTAAACTATATAGTACCAACTTCAACATCTCCTTTTCACATTGAATGTGATTTGAAAAGAGCATCTATACCTATACTTATACGTACACATATATATACATATATATGTATATATCTATACCTATACTTATACATATACTAGAGGCCCGGTGCACAAAAATTTGTGCACTCGGGGGTGGAGGGGGGGGTCCCTCAGCCCGGCCTGTGCCCTCTTGAAGTCTGGGACCCCTTGGGAGATAATGACCTGCTGGCTTAGGCCTGCTCCCGGGTGGCAGAGGGCAGGCCCAATCCCTAGGTGCAGCCCCTGGTCGGGCTCAGAGCAGGGCCGATTGGGGAGTTGGGGCGCCGCCCCGTCATGCACAGAGCAGGGCAGATTGGGAGGTTGTGATGCCACCCTCAGTCACGCTCAGGGTAAGGCCAATTGGGGGATTGGGGCACCATCTCCTGTCACACTCAAGGCACGGTTGATGGGGAGGTTGCGGTGCCACCCCCTGTCACGCACAGAGCAGGGCCAATCCGGGGGTTGGGGCGCTGCCCCCATCACCCACAGAGCAGGGCCGATCATGGGGTTGGGGCGCCGCCACTCTCACACTCAGGGCAGGGCCGATGGGGAGGTTATGGCTCTACCCCATCACACACAGAGCAGGGTCCGTGGGGGGGGGGGGGTTGGGGAGCTCCCCCCTATCAGGCACAGAGCAGGGCTGCTCAGGGGCTTGGGGCCCCTCCCCCTGTCACACACAGAGCTGCAGGGCGATCAGGGGGTTTGGGTGCTGCCCCCTGTCACGCTGATCCTGGTGCTGGGAGGCATATTTTACTATATAGGGTAGAGGCCTGGTGCATGGGTGGGGCCGGCTGGTTTGCCCTGAAGGGTGTCCTGGATCAGGGTGGGGGTCCCCACTAGGGTGCCTGGCCAGTCTGGGTGAGGGGCTGAGGGCTGTTTTCAGGCTGGGAGTGACTGAAGTTCCCAACCGCTCCTTTTTTTCTTTTTTATCCTGGGCCAGCTTTACCTTGAGGCTTGGCTCCAGCTCTTAGGCCTCCGGGGCTGAAAGTAGGTTTCTGGCCTTTGCTCACAATGTTGCAAATCTGCTGGCTGAAGTCCGGCGGTATTTGTTACAGTGTTTCTTAAACTGCCCGCTCAGAGGCCTGCAGCCACAGGTGGGGAACGTTGGTTTCCTCCAATGATCCTCCGTCACTGAGGCAAGCAAGCCTCATGTTAGTTTCAAGCTGCCTGGCTGCCGGCCGCCATCTTGGCTGACAGTTAATTTGCATATCTCGCTGATTAGCCAATGAAAAGTGTAGCGGTCGTACACCAATTACCATCTTTCTCTTTTATTAGTGTAGATGTATATATCCTATATAATAAAAGAGAAACATGCATATTAACCATCCCTCTGCTATGCTCAAGCCATGCCCACCAGCCAATGAGGAGTGAGTATGCAAATTAACCTGACAAAGATGGCGGGTAATTTGCATACACAGAACAGAGTGGGAGAGCGGGTAGTTTGGGGGGACGTGGCTCCCTCAGTCGCTCCTTAGGTCGCTCCCTTAGGGGAATGTGGCTCCCTTGGTCACTGGATGGAGAGCAGAGCAGGAGAGCCGGAGGCTTGGGGAGATGTGGCTCCCTTGGTCGGGGAAAACTGAGAGAGTGGGGAGCACCAGGAATCCTGGGAATAGTAGTTTTGGTGGCAGCCCCAGGACCAGAAGTGGAAGCCAGCGTGCAGGGAGCACCAGGGATGCTGGGAATCGTAGTTCTCCTAGACACTAGAGCATTGGTTCTCAACCTTCCTAATGCTGCGACCCTTTAATACAGTTCCTCATGTTGTGATGACCCCCAATTTCATTGTTACAAATTGAACATAATTAAAGCATAGTGACTAATCACAAAAACAATATGTAATTATATATGTTTTCCGATGGTCTTAGGCGACCCCTGTAAAAGTATCGTTCAACCCCCAAAGGGGTCGCAACCCACAGGTTGAGAACCGCTGCACTAGAGCAAATTGAGCCTGGAGCAAGTTACTGCTGTGGTTGGGGCTGGAGGGAAAGCAAAGGTGAGAGACATAAGTAAAATCAGAGTGTCTAGAAAAAATTAAAGGGAAGATATCCTAAAACTTCCAGGAAATCTCCACCAATGGAGCAAAGACAAAAAAATGCCTCTATTATTCTGTGAGCAACAAACCAAACTGGGTTGTGGGTCTCAGACAATTTGCTCATATGATTGCAAAGACAGACAGAAACTCTCGGATTGGAGAGGGCTCCCCTGAGGGCTCCCTGATTGGAGAGGGTGCAGGTCGGGCTGAGGGACCCCCCCTCCCCACCCCCTGTCGTGCACAAATCTTAGTGCACCGGGTCCCTAGTGTGTGTGTGTGTGTGTGTGTGTGTGTGTGTGTGTGTGTGTGTGTATGATGTATATCTCACTTGTATATGTATCTCCCCAGTCAAATAAGAATATTGCTTCCTTGTATTCCTTACATTGCAGTTTCCAGTATATTCAGAAAATTCAAAGGAAACAATATTTTCTCTATTAGATCATGCTATTTAGGCTAATTTGATGGGAGGGGATGCCATTATTTTTTCTATATTTTGTTAACAGAGAATGTTCTCTTTTTAATCCAGCATGGTTAACAATTTTTGTTTTTCACACATTTGATTATGTCTCCTTGGAGGGGGAAGTAATGCTGTGCTAATTTAGGAAATTAGCAATGTGTTAATAATTTGACAAGCCTACTCTGGGTTGTATAACTAAAATCTGTTATGAACCATCAATAGAGAAAGTATCTAACATAACTGATTTATGGAATCTAATATATATTACAATTTATTTTTTATGATACTTGCTTTTCTATTTCTGGGAGTAATAAAACTTTGAGTAAACCAAAGGTGAAGAATAACAAAATTAACTTTAGAAGAAAAATACAACTCTGTTGATTTTTACTCTTATATTTCCTTAAAAAATAAGAGTGCTTAAGTCTCTGAGGTTCATTAATTACATTTTAAGGTAATTACTTGAATATTATTTAATTAAAATAATTTGATCTTTTATGTTTTGCTTGATGAGAGACATAGTTTCAGATGATACCAGCATTTTGAAAATGTTTCACATTGTTTTTATCTCAGTGACTGTTGTTTTATTTTATTTCTAGGTAAAAGAGTGGCTCTGTTTAAATTGTCAGATGCAAAGAGCTCTAGGAGGTGACTTGGCTCCAATTCCGTCATCACCCCAGCCCAAACCGAAGACAGCCGCAGGTATTCTTGCATCAGTGGTGAGCAAACCATCGCCACAGTCACAGCAGATTTCTCCAAAGAAGGATGCTGTACCCAAACAGGATATCTCAAAGGCACCTGAGTCTAAAAAGCCTCCACCTCTTGTGAAGCAACCAACCCTTCACGGTTCTCCCCCTGTCACGGCCAAGCAGCCTCATGTGGCAGAATCCTCACCCAAGCCAGCCCCTTTCAAAGAGCCTTCTGTCCCATCCGAGCTGGCCAAGGTCCCCATGGCTGATGATAAACCAAAGCAGCCCAAGATGGCAAAGCCAGCCACAGACATTGTGTCTTCATCGTTAACAGCAACAAAACCTGATATTCCAAGCTCCAAAATACAATCCCAGGATCAAGAGAAAACAACTCCTCCTCTGAAAACAGACTCTGCCAAACCTTCACAGAGTTTCCCACCCACTGGAGAAAAAGTCACCCCATTCGATTCTAAAGTCATACCTCGACCTGCATCAGATTCGAAAATTATATCACATCCTGGGCCCAGTATGGAGAGCAAAGGTAAAAAACAAGTGGATCCAGTTCAAAAGAGGGAAGAACCCAAGAAAGCAGAAACCAAAATCAGCCCTAAGCCAGATGCCAAGCCTGTGCCAAAAGGGTCACCAACACCTTCCGGCCCACGACCTACCCCTGGCCAAACTGCCCCCCCATCCCCACAGCCACCAAAGCCTCAGGAGCAGTCAAGGCGTTTCAGCTTGAATCTGGGAAGTATTACTGATGCTCCTAAATCACAGCCCACCACTCCTCAAGAAACTATGACTGGGAAGCTCTTCGGGTTCGGAGCATCCATCTTCAGCCAGGCATCAAATTTAATCTCCACAGCAGGCCAGCCGGGATCTCATTCACAAAGTGGGCCCGGGGGCCCAGCAAAACAAGTCCCTCCTCCTGCACAGCCGCCTCCCTCTCAGGGGCCACCCAAGTCTACAGGTCAGGTACCAGCAGCACCTGCAAAGGTTCTACCTGTGAAAAAGGAAACAAAAGCCCCAGGAGCTGAAAAATTAGAGCCCAAAGCTGAGCAAGTTCCAACAGTCAAACGAACAGAAACAGAAAAGAAGCCTCAGCCTATTAAGGATGGCAAACCTTCAATAGCTGAGCCTCCGAAGGCTGCCCTTCCCCCCAAACTGGAGAAACCCCCCAAACCAGAATCAGCCTGTCCTCTCTGCAAAACTGAACTCAACATAGGTTCTAAGGAGCCTCCTAATTTCAACACTTGCACCGAGTGCAAGCATCAAGTGTGTAATCTCTGTGGATTTAACCCTACACCACACCTGACTGAGGTAAGCAATATTTATATTACATATAGATGTGAGATGATTGTCTTCATTCTGAAATATTTGGTAGCCAAATTGCCGAGCAAAAAAAAGAAAGCAAGTAAATATTGATACCTTAGAAGTTTCAATTACTTTTTATAGGTTTACGTACTTATTAAAAAAGTTTATGTAATTTATACTTTTCTGGGTTAATGCACCAAAAGTAAGAGGATGATATAAGCTGAGAACTTAAAATACAACTATCCCAATCCTTTATGAATTAACCACCTATAGCTTTGGAGGACTGTCTGGTTTTCACCTGTAAACATCAAATAAGAGAAGTAATTTATTATTTCCAACCTTTCTAATCCTTCTACTTTCTTTAATAAAAAAAGAAGTTTGATTGGTTGCAGATCTGTTATTTTAAAAAACATGAGATCTATTATTTACAAAAATTGTTAAGAACTCTGTTAAGGGAATATTATTGTCTACTAGAAAATATCAGTTCAAATATATTATGTCTAGACTTTTTGATAGTTCTGTTTGAGCTGTTATTTGGCATAAATATAATAAATTATTTTATTAAGAACTATAGAAAGAAAAAAAATATGGATTTAACTGACTAATATAAGGGAATTTTTTTAACGGAGCAACAAGAAAACTTTTTCCACAAAGTAAATGACTAAAAACCACATAGCCAATTTCTACCTAACCCTATATAATAAATGGGTAGTATGCAAATTGACCCTAACTGCAGAATGACTGGATGCTATGATGTGCACTGACCACCAGGGGGCAAACACTCAACACAGGAGTTGCCCCCTGGTGCACTTCCACAGCGGGAGTGCTGCTCAGCCAGAAGCCGGCTCATGGCTGGCCAGCGCAGCAGTGGTGGTGGGAGCCTCTCCTGCCTTCGCAGCAGCACTAAGGATGTCCGACTGGTGGCTTAGGCCCGTTGCCCTCCCCTGAGGGTTCCCCCCCTCAAGTGCATGAATTTTCATGCACCAAACCTCTAGTACAGTTATAAAAGAAGGAATCTATGAGCCTTAGTAATGTGTTAGGGCTGTTAGAATTTTGGATCTTTGGAGACTGACGGGTTAAATGACAGCTGCTATCTTAGATAAGTAACAACAATGTTTTAACAATCATTTTGGGATTGAACTTTAAATAGTTGTTCATTGTTTTTATACAAATCAAAAATACTTAGGGATTATTTTATTTCATTCTCCTTGATTTTGTAATTGATTGGAATGAGAAATTATACCAATTTTTAGTAACCATACAAAAAAAACTTTAGAAAATCTTGCTGTTGTTTTCAAGTTGTTTTTTTTTTAAAGAATATACCATACAATATTTTAATTTTTCACCTTTGAAAGATATTAGGTTGCTTTGATATTATTAACACTGTTTGAAAATATTGTCTTTACAGACTTAAGCAGGTTTTTATTCTCTTTAACTGTGATGAATAATGTTAACTAAGGTTTATTTTAAAAGGAGGTAAAATTTGGTTTCTTTCAGTGTCATGAGTGGTAACAACTATAATTGTTACTTACAGTAATATTTTGAGAAGAATTGCCTTTGGTTGAATATTCATGAAGAGGAAATTTTGATTTTCCCAGTAAGCAGGTTCTCAATAATGTTGCTTCATTCAACGTCCTTTCGTTATAACGTTGATGAAGAATAAAGAAAATGATTCCTGGCTAGAGAAGTGGAGTTTGCACCTTCTCCCCATGTCTTTGTCGGTTTTCTCTGAGGCCTTCAGTTTCCTCCCAGGTCCCAAAGAGGTACACATTAGGTGAAGTGGCGTGTTGACATGTTCCAGTCTGAGTGAGTGTGAGTGTGTGTAAGTGTGCCCTGTGATGGAAATGTTCTGTCCAGGTGGGCCCCACCTTGCACTCTGACCTGGGATGGGCTCCAGATCCCTACAACCCTGAATGACTGGAAAATCATTGTCTTATCTACTTTTATTATTCTTTCTCAAATGTATGTATAATTCACATTTATTTCAATGTTTAATATTGGGAGTATTTTGGGTCTTTAGTTAGAAGTTTGGTGATGTTTTTGTGACCAGAAATATGCTGTAGGAACTTAACTCTTGTTTATATCAAGTAACCCAGGGTAGAATTTATTTCGTTATATGTTGTTTCCTTAAAGTTGAAGTTTCTAAGATCCTAGGAACATCACCAGGTGAGGACTTCCTGTACAACTGTGTTAATTTCATTGATTTAAAACTTTGTACTTAAGCCTAACCAATGGACACAGACAACAGGGGGGTGAGGGCATGAGTGGGGAGATGGGGGGCAATGGGGCAATAAGGACACATATGTAGTACCTTAATCAATAAAGAAAAAACATTATTAAAAAAAAGGTGGGACAGACAAAGGCAAAGATTTATTGTATTGTAGAATTAATCTGAACTTGTTATCAAGAGATAAAAAGGTTGTAGAAATTAGTTTGTTACTTTAATCAAGCTTTTAAAAGTATACAATGGAAAGATATAATTAAGAAGTACACCAATTTTGTTAGGCTATTTGCTTTTTAAGAATCTTATTTTTAGGATACCTAAAAATGAAGAAGAGGAAAAAGGTCCAAAATGCATTTTTAAAGGATATATATACTTCCTCTTAAACTACATGATTATAAATGATGTAGAAGAAATGAGAAAAACTGTCTTATTTAAATTTAATTGTTTCTGTTATTCTAACTTCTAAGACAGAGAATAATAGAAGTGCTGAGTGAAACCCAACTAGAAAAAAAAATTTAAAAAAACCCAAAACATTGTAACATTTAATGAGGAGCCCTGTTGTACCAATACCAGGCAGTTAATTTACATAGTTACAAAACTGCACCACTGAAAACAAAACGATAATGTCTATGTTTAAAGTGCATTTGGGGTACACTACAAAAAAGTGGCTGCATTGTGGAGGGATAACTATAACTTATACAATGGGGCCTTGACTTACGAGTTTAATTCGTTCCGTGACAGAGCTCGTAACTCAAATTACTCGTATGTCAAATCTCAAAGTGAACGAGTGAGACATGTGATGCTGGGCTGATGTTGTGGTGTTCACTGTGACGTTCGCTGTGCCAACTAGCTGTAGGGTATCTGAAGCTGGCTCGTAACCCGAATTTTAGCTTGCAACTCAAAGCAAAAAATCGGCCTAGAGACGGCTTGTATCTAGAAAAACTCGTTAGTCAGGACACTCATAAGTCAAGGCCCCACTGTATGAACATTTGTGTGTGTATATGTATATATATATTTGTATGTATACATTTGGGCCAATTTTGTCAGTGTTTGGAGCTATGAAATGAGAGCCCTGAGTAGAGAATCAATAAACCTTTCACAGAAATCTTTGATTTTTTGTAGGTTGCTCAATTATACTTTAGAGGTGGTAATTTGGAAAGGAGAGTTCTTGAATAAAGCAGAGAGCTATCTAGGCATGGAATTTAAATAGTTTGAAAATATAGATGGTTTCAAGTTTTTAAATGGTTTAGGTGAATCCAATTTTAAATGTGACCAGTTAGACAATCTTTCATTGTTCAGATTATTTTGTTGTGTAGTAAATTTGGAAGATCACGTTTCAGAGGAGAAGAAAATTTGCTGTAATTAAAGCGTGTATTAGTGTTCCTGGCTCAGTCTGACTGCACTAATCCATAAGAAGTTTTCAGTTAGTAGGTCTTAATGCCCTCTGGTCTCCAGCCGAAGTCCATTGGCTGACCTGGCATCTAGGGAGTGTTTAATCCATGTCAAATAGTTTTTGAATTATTACCTAAAGGACTTTAGAGGACTGGATGAAGGGGTTGGTTGAAGAGAAAGGCACAGTGTGTATGCATATGTGTGTGCGTGTGTGTGTGTGTATACATACACATATGTGTCCAGGAAATTATAAATGTGATATATAGGCTTAACTCATGGTGCTATCCCAGTGTTCATACTGTGGTTAGGAAGGCACCTCCTCCTTGATCCTTGTTTTATTTCTATGGGTTTTTCATTCTCTTTGTAATATTTTTCATGTGACCCAATATTTTCTGCTGGGCTGGCACTGTACTTCCATTGTAGTTTTAGAAAACACATTCTGAAAATGCTCACACTTTATGCCTGCATTGTAAAAAGATATGGTATTCCTTAAGAAAGATTCAACTAATTTCTATTTATTTTTCTAATAAAACACATTTGACTATTTTATAAGCTTCTGCTCTAATAACTATGAGACAGGACTTCTTTTTCTGTTGGTACCATCCTGCCCTCCTCTTTGGTGTTCTGTTCCTCTGGTGGTCAGAGGTGCCAGTACTAGTTTGTCATGGGTTAAGGAGCTCTCCATAGTATTCCGCCTTCCTCCCCGATTAATCAAACACACCTTTCTCTAGGGTTGCTTCCTGTCCTGTAGTTCACCCTCCATATCCCCCACAACACCAGTAGAGCGCCAAGGGCTGCCTGCAGGGCTCTGGGGTGTAGCCAGGCTTCAGCCTAAGCCTTACGGTTTAATTAACTGTTTGATGGCCAGTATGTATAAATGGTACTATAATCCATCAATCTGCTAGCAAGGAACACTTGTTTTAGGCATTAATTTCTGCCAACTCAGGGAATATTTCATCTTGGGAGGAATTTTAAAATTGGCAGCAAGGCTTTCTGGAAAAGCGAGTTTATAGAATTTGGAAGCATGCTAGGAAAAACAGATTAAATGGGTAATCAGTTTACCTAGTGAATTTTAAGCATTCTGGTTCAGTTCAAATGCAGAAAGATGTCAAATTACTCATAGTGGGTATTTATTGTTTGTACTATCCTTTATCAAAGTAACTTTTACTATGAACATAAGACTTAAAATTAAGTTTTTTTATGTTTCATGAAGTCCTAGAGGAGGGGTGGTCAAACTTTTTGACTCGAGGGCCACAATGGGTTCTTAAACTGGACCGGAGGGCCGGAACAAAAGCATGGACGGAGTGTTTGTGTGAACTAATATAAATTCAAAGTAAACATCATTACATAAAAGGGTACGGTCTTTTTTTTTTTTTTTTAGTTTTATTCA